GCTCCCATATTTAGAATTATGGGGGCCCCAGCTTGTGAACTTCGGATCTTGCTCTAATCTGATGTTTTGCGTAATTCTGTATTTTGTAGGTTTTTGCACAGTGGGTGGCATTTTCTTAAGCGTGCATTTAAAACGTCCCCACTATATATTTTATTTCAGCTGTGCATTCAGTCTGCACTGTCTGCACGATATTTCCTCTTAGATTTATTAATAATCCACAACCATTTGTATGCTCTACTTCACTACATTTTAAATCCAACTGCAAAATAATTTGAATGTTTTAAAAGAGTATCTTGCAAGAGAACAACACAGAATCAAAGAATGCAGTCTTATTATCTTGCCATAAACATCAGTGCACTGGCAAATCTCCCGCTGTTGGGAGCACACAGGAGAGCGCTATAAAAGGAAGACTGTGGTCTTAAAGCATGTACCCTGTATTTCTTCTTTTGGAATATTTCTAGAATCTTGTCGTCTCTCGGTCAGCGTGTTGCCATGGAATTCCCTGAGTACCGCTCCCTCTCCTTATGTCACACAGTCAGAGTGAGTCAGTATTTTTCCACAGTAAGACATACAGAATATGCAGCTGCCGTCAGTCTTAGCGGGCACACGGATGATGTGCATGGTTTGGAATGTCCCGTGGACTGTGCAACATACTTAAAACGTTGACCTTGGCAAAAAATATTCAAGAAGATGCATATTTTAGGTCCCTGAAAATGCGTTTTTCAGAATCTGTGAGTTCAGCGATTAATATTTATGGTAACATTTGATGATTTTACCTCTATCACAGCTGCTGATGATGTGAAATGTTGTGGATGACTTCGTCCCAGACCTATTCCCAATAAGGCACTGCTGCTTCTACACCACATGGTCTGCTAACAAAGCACCAGAGATTAAAGAGCTGTCAGTTCGGGGCTTTAATCTCCTAAAGAGGGACCGCTGGGGCACACAGGCACGTCACAGCACATAATTCCTGTCACTGCCTGTTGTCTGAAGGAGGGATGGCAGTGACAGCATTCATGCACGACTTAGAAGGATGATGCTTTTTGCTTATTAACAAAAGACTCAGACTGTACGTGTTTTCATATCGGTTCCCTGAGAGATAGTAGGAGTGGCCACGTAACACCGAGTGGAATAAGAGGCGTTCAGTCCCTCTTGGGCAGTTCAGCCAGATCGTTGTGCAAACACAGCAGGCCCACTGGGGTTAACTCAGCCATGTAATGACACCACAGTGGAATAATGGGCAGCCGTGCTCGAGTTTGTTTTTGCTTGCCTTGTAAAATGATTCTGAACTGCGAGGACACGTACCTTGGGAAGGAACCTCTCGCTCAGGTTCAGTGTACGATCAGACCGCCGTTCGCAGCATTAGAACCATACATCTCCCTCTTAGAGCACGTTTGCACATGTTCCAAAAGTGGGCCAAAGATCACAATCCCAACACACATCTCCACTCATTCAATTTACACTCAGCCGATTCCAATTAGCCCAGGGCGCGGAAACAGAAGAGTTTAGAGGGGAGAGGGAAAAAATTGGTGTCTCCAGAATCTTTGCACTGTCCTCATTTGAGGAAATGAAGCATGGCCTCGGCTTGACCCGTCTCCCTGGGCGCTCAAGCAAATGGAGTGAAGCGTGCAGATGTTCGACAGCGCTAAAATATACGTGTAGGTTGACTATATAAGAGTGCACTGACAGAACTGGATCAGTTGCCTTTGCCAGGGGACAAGAGCCACGCTGCAGTGACAGAAATGGCTCATAAATGGCCACACACTGCATGCATACACTCTACTTTACATATACAGTATTAAGTCTCAGGAAGCCTACTTGCTCATTGCTGTTGTCCATCTCTCAACTCCGATACCAGAATGAACACTTCAGCTGAGTCTTAAGCTGAGTCCTACTCTTAAATGAACTACTCATGGAGCCTGAAGTAGAGATGGCCCCTGGAAATCAGGTTAATGAGAGATCAGTTGGTGTTACCCATACTGTATACAAGCAGACCAGTGACATTTAAGGCTATATTTTTTTCTTACATTTATTTGTTTTACTTTTTAAACATTTTTTGTCCTCTCCAATAATTAAAAAAAAAAAATTATTCATACAATGATTTGATTAAACCTCTTATCTATGATGAACATTTTTAAATTTTTAAATGAAAATGTATTTTTAATATTTTTTTAGGGACAATATAAAAAATGTCAGCACAGCTGCCCTGATATTATAATGAAGAAAAAAAAGCTTAATTATAAGAAAAGCTATATAGCTTATAATTAATTATAAGAATACAATTCTTGAAAAGACAATCTAATCAAATACAGTATTCTTGCAGTCATTTATTATTATTTCTTTAAACAAAGCCTGCTGCTTATTAACATTTGAAAAAATTTTTGCAACTCCCCAATATTTATTTGTATGAAAATATATGTGTATATATATATATATATATATATATATATATATATACACACACACAGTATATATACATACACGGTATATACAGTATATACAATATATATATATACAGTGTATACACACAGACACACACACACACATGCACAAACAAATAATTCACAAAATGTATTTGAGAATAATGATTAATATGTAAACATCTACTAATGACCTAGAAAAAAGGAAGTTTGAGTTGTTTCTTTCAAATGTTGTTTCTTTTGCATTGATAATGGACTTGACATACATATTTGCCTAATTCAGTCATATTTAGTTCATCGTGTTCTTAAGACACGGTCATGCATGAGCTAAAAGGTTAGATTAGCACTGCCTTGTGGTTAAAAATAAAATTATATTCATAAATGTGACACTAAGTCTGTTTAAATGATCACAAACCCTGGTGACCACTATCCTCATTTGAACCGGACTTATGTGATGTTAAAATACTGTCTGGATCACACTTTTACACTCTGAGATTGTTCTCTTCTCACAACACATCTTTTTTAGATTCTCAAAGGAGAACAGCAAGAGTGTTTAGAGCAGCAAGTGGTTTTACAAGCCAGAACCCATCATTTATTCTCTCCTGTGATATGTCCCTTCATAGTCCATATGCCCATAAATATAGCATAAATCCCCATTTCAAATCCAGATATAAGGTTCAAATTCATGCATTTGCCGTATTTAGATTAAAGAGGCATTAAGCTTTTCCATATATGCAGATTCACGGTCATTGTGTCAGACTTGGTCAGAGTAGCACTTTACCTCAGATGTGTACATTTAAGCAGAGTATTGGTCAATGTGATCCCATATGTATTTAGAAATGGAGATTTGTGGCGGGGCTGAGAGAGTGGATTATTTTGGGCAGATTAGAGTGTCATCTGCTGCGGGTTCAACCGGCGCAGAGAGCAATCATGTGAATGTGTGGCTAGGCAATGGGCATCAGGATTACCAATCTTAATCTTAGAGAGTGAGCCATTATCCACTGCATTAGTCTCATGGTCCCCAGAATCACTCATGGCATTTTTGTTTGGTAAAAGTGTGACTGCTGTACGGTCCGATACGCACAGGTCTATTAAATGCATAAAGATGCATTGGCTTCGATTATAATGCCTGGTTGGGTTTCACTTGCAATACACAGATAGGTCTGGACAGAGTGAAGTCAAAGTGTGTAAAAAGAAGAGATACATTCTTTCCCTTAGTGGGAAAAAAAATGCAGATTCCCTTAGTTGGGAGAAAAAGACCCTCATGTGTTCCATTATTTAGCTGAGAATGAGCTTGTGATGCTTTTTGCAGTGATTTGGGAATGCAGATCAAAAGATGACAGACTGTGCTCATTGTGCTAGTGGTCTTGTACCAAAACTGTGTTATGGCTTACTTTTACAAAAGAGATACCAGATCTGTTAAAAGACAGCTGTCTCTCCCAGTAGGACGGGGGGAAAAAAACATCTGAGATTGTTTAGGATGAATTGCTTGTATTCCTCATTTGTAAGTTGCCTTTGATAAAAGCATCTACAAAATGAATAAATGTTAATGTAATATTTGTTAAGAAAAGCCCCCAAATGAAGATCTTTTGACCACATTAGATTACATGTGATGAAAGCACTGAATAAACATAAAACGTGTTTTTAGAAGTCAATCTATTGTTTTTATTTAAATATCATAGAAGATAATCCTATGACCTGCCTACAGTCAACAGCAGTCGTTCAATCGAGTCTGTCAAGCTGTTCGAAACTTGGGGGCCGTTCACACGAGAAACATTCTTGTTTATTGTCTGATCTTTTTTAATTGTTGGTCTGTGTAAACATGCAGCTGTTGTGCAGTCCTGCTGTTTTTCAGCATCTCAAGCCATGAGTGTCGTGTTTCTAAGACACTGTGTAAAGTTAACAGCAGTTCACCTCTAAACCTTGAAACCATTCAGTTGTCTAAAGCTGTTTTGCTTCCCTTATTCTTTAGCTTGCAAAAACATAAAGGTGATCATTCAAGCTTGTATGGCTCTTACAGTAAGAAAAACTCTTATTGTGAACTTTAGGTACAGCGGTACAGAACCCTGCATATGGCTACTTGCAGAAAAATAGATATTGTGGCCACAAATGAAGAATTTGCTCCCACAACTTATTAATTTGTGGTCATGTTTTATTAATTTGTTCCCTCATTTTGGTTAAACTGTGGCCATGTTGTAGTAATTTGTTACTGGTTTTAATCATGGCACGATTTAACTAAAATGAGGGAACAAATTAGTACAAAGTGGTGATTTTTTTTTTTACATTAATTAATGAGAACAAACTCTTAATTCATGGCAACAATGTGTTTTTATTTTCCCTGCATGTCATGTGCAGGGCTTCATAATGGGGTGAAGGGACATGATTAATTATTGTTTTTTTATCATAATATCATAATTTATTATTGTATTAATACATTCTAAAACTAAATTAATGTGTTATATTGTTACTGTAATCAGTAATTGTTATTATGTAAACAAAAACTTGCCAAACCCATGACACGCACCCAATTGAAACACACAAATGACATTAAAGCTGTCTAAAAATCCTCTACTTTATTCAATAAGATGTTTTGTAAAACATTCAATAAAAAATCTAATCACTTATTGCTTTTTATTAAACTAGTACTTGATCTTATGCATATTTTCTCAAAGCATTCTCATATGTAATACACCTCTAGATAATTAGACAGGTTTCGACTGTTTGAATATATAAAAACATGAACAAATCAAAAGTCATAAATTAACCCCACACCCTTGCCATAAATGCAGATTGAGCTATTAATCTAAGAAAAAGAAAAGCCTTGGCCAGTGCACAACCTCTCCGTTTGCATATCCATTCAATGCTGAAGGGTGCTGATGGTTTACTAGTCCCTCACAACACACATACATTCTTTTTAAGGAAATTGTGTACAAGGCAGTATTCGATGGTGACCTGGCAAGATGCGATTTTTTTTTTATCCTTTAGCTTTCAAGGAAGGAAGGGTGCAGTTGAACAACAGCAGGTCCATTGTAGCTTCTAAAGCAGTCGGTGCCGACAGCTTCGGTAGTGAATCAAACCATAAATATATAAATTAATGCTCATAAATAAGTTAATAAATTAAAACGATCAGTACATGTTTAAAAACGGTCTGTAAGTGAGAGTGCTGAGTGTGGTGTAAATAGTGCACGGGCCTGCAGGGGAACTGAACATGCTGCCTAACAGAGGGAAACTCACAGATTTGCTGCCTTCGCCTTTTTGAGCCATTCTTTTGCCATTTCTTTTCGCCTCTGTCATGCGGTATGTTGTCTAACAGGCCTTTTCTGGCATTTCGATGTCGACACTACATGCTTGAACTCAAGATCAAGCGTGCAAGCAGCGGCGACAACACTGAAGTCGAATAGGCAAGAGAAATTCCACTAACTGCATATAAAGATACATTGATGGTTATAAATATCATAGTAATGCATGTCAAAGTGTCAAGTTCTGCAAGTGACTATATAGAGCTAATGTGTGTGCGAGTGTGTGTTTTGTTGTGCAGTGGATGCTAAACTGCTGTACATTCATGGTGAGGGAATGAAACAGAAAGAGCAAGCGCCGTGTGATCCTGTCAGGCCTGGTGGAGGCTCAGACGGAGGGCTGGGGCGACCACTGCTGCTGCTGCTGCTGCTGTTGCTACTCTTCTATAGAAGCACACACTTGCCCTTCTCCACCCATGGATTGTTCTTCATCAGCTCAGGATTCAGGAAAGGGTCCTCAGGCACACACTCCTCGATCCACTTCACCAGGCTGAGGAGAGGAAGAAAGTTTCCTCATCATTCTGGGACACAATGCTAACTGCGTAATCTATTTAAAGTAACAAACCTCGTATTTGGTGCAAAAATGAGTACTATTTAGGAGTAAATAGAGCAGAGATTTGCTCTGGATGCGTGTGACTTTGAACATGGATGCTGAGTGTTAAGGAATCAGGGCCATGCAAGATCCGCACCCATGTTGAACAAATGATAAATGAGGGTGATAATCACGTAACTCTTTGCTGAAGCACCGTCCATCACGGGCGATTAATAGAAATGGTGTGTCAAAGATGAGAGTGATATTCTTAGACTCACGCTAGACTCCATCCAAACCCAGATGCAATTAAGTCATCATGACCCAACATTATGTCTCCACAACTGCTTATTCAGCTAAACTGCACAATAACACTGAAGGAACCACTATGCTGGCGTAAACTGGGCTGTTCACTACCGGCCGGTAAAAGGTAATTTGTAACAGAGAAATTACCATTGTGAATATTTCAGGAAGAGAGCCCTGGGACGCAGGGAAATGAGATGTCACTGTAATGTGACAGTGGCGGGTGTGACTAAGAGGCCACGCTTGCTCTCAAATTGGAGAGTAAAGCACCAGAGATCTGAGAGCATTAGCTTTGTCCTGAACAATCACCAAGAGGACCTGGCCTCTGGGCAGCCTAATTTGTGACATGAGGTGAACCTGAAAATTCAGAAATAACTGCAGTGAGTTCATGGTGGCATAAGGGTTATTCAATCAGGAAACAGTTCCACTGACAAAATTGATTAGATTACTCTCCACAACAGGAACTATGAGGTATGAACTATGGTGAGTGGATAAGTTAGGCCAAAAGCAAATTTTTTTTAGCATATTAGATGACTATTTACCAAATTAATAAACAGAGAGACAAGAAATACTAATTCAAGCCATTTTATTGTTATTATATTAATTATTTACTTGTATTACTTATATTTACCTCCAGTACTTATAGCTCAAAGCGTCCGCTAAAAATAGTCCATTACAACATTACAATAAAAAAATGGGACAGATAACACAACAATATTAATATATATTGTTGAGGTTTTATGTTCACCATATACACTACTATTCAAATTTGACAGTAAAGACATTTTACATTACAAAAAGATCTCAAATAAATGCTGTTCTTTTGAACTGTTCTTTTTCTAATCCATTACAGTTTCCAAAAAATATATTAAGCAACTGTTTGCAAAATTGATAATAATAAGAAATATTTCTTAAGCAGCAATTCAGCATAAATAAAATTATTTCTGAAGGAACATGTGACACTGAAGACTGAAATAATGACATCCTAAGAATAAATTACACTTTAAAATATATAAAACAGAACATTTAAATTCTACATTTTAAATTCAAATTCGGTTTCACAATATTTTTTACAAATAAATGCAGCTTTGGTGAGAATAAGAGACTTTTTTTTAGAAATATTAAAAAACCTTTGCACTGTAGTTTATACTGAAATATTACCCTTTTAAAGTGCAATTTTTTTACCCACAGCAAAGAGTCACAAAATTGCTCCAGTTACCTATAGTCTTACTTTGCATTAGTATGCACAGAGAGAGGTCACAGACTAATATGAGAAATTAACCTAGAACTAATATATTGTCAAAACAACCACTAAATGTATAGTTTAGAAGTCATCATAACAAAACATTGACTGGTCAATGCCATTTTGACCAATTACAATCAAGTATTTGTGTAATAAAAGGACAGAATACACGGGTGATGTTCTAATGACTTGCTGTTAGGTTTCTCTGTACTTGATTATGTGACGAAAAGCAACAAAAAGAGAAGAAGTCATTATCTTTTCTGTTGTGATATGGGGCGACAGCGTAAAATATATGGGTTGGAACAGAGACTATCACAGTGTGAAGAACAAAAGAGAGCACACTCACTCTGTCACTGTCTTTGAGGATTTCTCCCGTTTGAAGGCCAGCTGATACTTGAGGCTTTCTACCTCCTTCTTCATCTGGGGCACATTTAGAAGTTATTATAACAAAACATTGACTGGTCAATGCCATTTTGACCAATTACAATCAAGTATTTGTGTAATAAAAGGACAGAATACATGGGTGATGTTCTAATGACTTGCTGTTAGGTTTCTCTGTACTTGATTAGCAACAAAAATAGAAGGAGGGTAGAAGAAGTCATTATCTTTTCTGTTGTGATATGGGGCGACAGCGTAAAATATATGGGTTGGAACAGAGACTATCACAGTGTGAAGAACAAAAGAGAGCACACTCACTCTGTCACTGTCTTTGAGGATTTCTCCCGTTTGAAGGCCAGCTGATACTTGAGGCTTTCTACCTCCTTCTTCATCTGGGGCAAGTCCATCTCATCCATGACTGCGGCTTGATGTGGAAGTGATCAAACGAAACCTAAACAAGAAAGAAGATTGTTTTTGCACATTGTGTCCTAAAACAGATGCTCGTACTTAAATTGCTTTAGTGGATCTTTTACATGACTCTGTGATTCTTTCAACAGCCACCCTAAGGAGTTTTTAGACAGGCGAATTGTGCCGGCTCAAAATGTAAATGTAACATACAAAAACATACATTTTATTTGGATTTATCTTGAACAGCTGATTTTGCATCAATCGATGAGGATTGCAATTAATAATCTTGCTAAATCAGCACCTCACACTATTTGTATGTACTAAGGATTTATGAATGTGATTTGTATGCCCATGCTGAACTGTTTGCATATGTTCCATGACAGGAAAATAAACAAAGAAACCACTTTTTGTAATGTTTATTCAGTTGCTTTGACTACCACAATCATTTATTTTGGGCTTTTCTAGCAATTATTGGCATATTTGATTAATTTTTTATTTAGCATTTGATTCATTAATTTAAAAAATTTTTTTACTGCTCTTGTATTTTTATTTCACAAAAGTGAAAATGTGTGGTTATTAACTTAAAGGGCAGTTTCCACCTAATCTATCCCTTAAAAATATGTTTTATTTAATGTAGTCTAAGGTTATAAGGCTAATTCATGCTGCATTTTATTTTTGACTCGAAAAACAAGTTAAATCACATGTCACCACATGAATCACAGTTTAGATTACCTGACAAAACATTTCAACATTGAATATACTGCAACCGCACATATTCTGTTTTCTCCCCTCCCTATTTTGTTCTGGGATGTACTGCATGAATGTATTTGGCTTTCAAATAAATAAAGATTTCAGTAATTAGATGCTTGTCTAATGCTTCCTCCTCTCTGAGCAGGAGTTAAGGGGGACCAGAGTTTGAGTGTTGAGAGGAGTCCAGCATTAGGGCATGTGTGAGCCAGAGAGCAGAGACAGTTCAGCATGCAGGTGTTCTGCTGCCTCTCTACATCCGTCCCATCAAGGCTTTTAAGCGCTTCCCAGCAACACCAGCCAGACACTGGAGCCTCGCACTCTAAAAGCTCTGATTTCACTATCTGAGACTAAGCACACTCAGAGCAGCTGGGAGATTGTGCTGTTTTTCAAATCAAACGTGCTGCTCAGAAATGGTTGGGGGACAAAGATGTTTCGCAAACTGTAAAACTTCTCACTTCTTTCAAACCATTCGTTCATATGGAGATATTCAAGAAATACTTTTTAAATGTGACATTGTGCACCAATACAATGGTAGCAGAAATCAGTTATTGCCAGAAGGTAAATACACTGATTTCAGTGCTTCACTGATGCCCTATACAAAAATATAATCAATAGTGTCCCAGAATATACAGCAGTTTGCCGCAAGCCATAAACCTCTTTTTTTTTTCCACTCACCCATTAGTCATGAACCAAATATTACTGATTCATCAAATCTTAGATTAAATGAATGAATGATACTATTCATCAGGTTTATGCTTTTGGTTTGCTCATAATATTATGTGTAGGCTATCAGTACAGTAGGACAGTGTAACATTTTAGATGGAGGACCAGGACGAACTTCCCAAGCCAAGTTCTTCATGTAGGTCGTTCAGTGATGTAGGTCATCACCACATTGCATCTAAATAGCAAGGATTACATTTCAGTTAGATTTTTTTTTTAAATGATTCAAAATGTAACAATTACTAAACTAAAGCACATATGATAGGTGTATGTTGTGTCCTAACTGATACACTGGTGTGGAAAGAACTAAAAAAGAAGAGAAATCATATCTGTCAATAAATGTGATAACACAATTTCTGTAGCTACATGATCATCTGATGAAGACCAACATGACTTGCTGTATCTCAGTTACCTCCAATGGGTATATTTAGGTTTCCCAGAGCAGATAAAACTATTAGGAAGCTACTGCAGGCTGAGGCTGAATTGCAGGCTTCTTCATTTCCTCCTTCCTGTAAATATGGGCTACATTTAAATAACCCAGTGATTTTATTAATCAAAAAAGAGGGACGGATAAAAGCAGGACGCAGAAAATCCAAGTTTTATGTAACACCGGCAAAATCGCTAGCAGCCACAGCGGTGATGGAGGGAGTGGAAAAAACGATATTAAAATGCAAAAAATAAGAATGCATGGATATCAATAACTAACATGTCACGCTAACATCTTAAGTTATGTCAACTGTCATCAAGAGTCAATCACGGAAAAGATGAGATCGATATGAATTCACATTTGTGTCGCTTACCTCGGTGATGTATCTTTGGGTAAAACCCGAAGCCCGTCTTTGGTGCAGACTGTTCTTATCTATGGGAAATGTCCTCAGATTAATCAAAAACACACATACGCCTGTGTCTAACTGACGAAAAACGACGGACGACTGTGTATCCGATGTAGACAGCCAAAGGACTGGACGGGGGAGACTGAAGATAGGCTCCGGCAGCAGCGGCAGAGGCGGCTGAAGCGATGCTGAAGAAGTTGAGCTGATGGCAGTGGTTACAGCCTAGTAAAGTGCAAGGACGCTGTTCAGCCGCTGCTGGGCCAATGTAGAGGAGGTGCTGGGGCAAATCTGTCTGGGAGGGGGGAATCGGAGGGCGGTTATATGCTGTTGAAGTCTAAATGCCTCTTCTAATGTTGGAGACAAAAGGACGCCCGATATCCCGTTGCCTATTCGCTAGAATTATCAGTGTCGGTGTTTAGATTTTCCATACGCATTTGCGGCTAGGTACGTTTAGTCCACTATCTATGCCCTAATATGGAAAAATTGAGCTCCAATTTGAGATTAAGCGTTTTTGTTTTAAGAAAACATTACATTATTTAGCTGTGCGATTTATTTATGTCCTGGTGCTTAATTAAATCACAAAGCAAGGATGCTTTTCTGAATAGCCTATATCGCACGAAACTCTTGCTTAAAAAACAGTTCAGTAAACAAGAAAAATCGGCCGGTTGTTTGTTTATTTTTTCTCCGCCAGATAAAATAGTTCCAACCAAAACATCAAGCTTTGCTTGTTGCCAAGCAACACGTAGTTTGAAAGGCGGGCTGGCGTGTATTTTGACGCGGATTCACCGTCACCTAGCCTTTTCTGCTCAAAGCGTTCTGTAATCCGCTCCGGGTTTTTAATGTCCCACTCATCGCTCATTAGCGCGAAACAGCGCTCGGTCCAAATCGTACTGGAGCGATAGGAAATGCTGTCGATAAAAGACTTTCAAACAGCTTCTGGCTGTGGTCAAGACCATTGAAGGGATACAAACTTATTAAATATGAACAATGTTGGAACGCCACTTATTAAACACATTTAAATTTACACTATACACTTATATAAAATAATTTTTTTTTTATAAATGAGTGTGTGCAATTGATCTAACAAACCCTGCCTTTATCCAACTAGGCTATACATTAATGAGCCTGTAATAGAATGGTTTAGTGATATTTGTTGGCCAACACGAAAGTTAGCATCACCCTGGTCCCCTTGACCAAAAAAAAAAAATCCACCTTATTCCTTAAACGCGGAAGTAGCCTAAGCCTTTGGGCGAGACTTCCGGTTCATTAGCCGCTATAGGGAAATAACGAGAAGAATAACAACATGCAGTAAACGGTCAAATTGTTTGGACTACAATTGTGTTCATAATAATAGATTAAAATAACAAGGTAATACACACCAATTTGCAATATCAAGCAACAAAACGAGCTGTTTTGTACAGCTAAAAATAGCTGGATGCAGATGTAGATGCTGACCGGAAGCCAGTCCCATAAAATTTACAAATGGCCCTGCCAACTTTTATGGCAAGAATAAGATCGATAGGATTTTTTCATTGGCTTTTAGATTTCTGGACAAGTGAACACAACTTTTATGAATTTTTAAGCTGAAAAACAGTCGGCAGAAGTGAAAAAGTTAAATGCAGGCTTTAAAACTACACCACGGTCGCATGACCTCAGTCACCATTGCTTATAAACGCAACGAGGCGGTGAAAACTGAGATGAGTTTTCATGTTTGGTCTGATGATATTTAATGTCCCCAACAACCTCTGTATTCCCATTTAGCCACAGTGACCGCTTTTTTCAAGACAAGCAAAAAAAAAAAAAACACACACACACATATAGGTGTATTAGTGATATATACAATATGTAGTAGAATAAAACGTGAAAATTGCCTGATCTTGTGTAAACCAGAGATCTTATGTCAGGCATTTAAAATGAAAAACCCATTCACTTAAGTACAATGAAACCAGAAGTGGGTTTCTAAGTTTTGGCCTACAAAAATATGTCATCCCTACAGCACTCTATGAGTATTTGTATATTGTAGAGCTGGTGGACGAATTTTGCGGTAAATTGTATAGGCCTGCGTAATTTGCCCGCGTATCTCACCTCATATTTGTACACGCAAGAAAAGTATGGCTCTGGTTGTGAACAGCGTGAAGCTGAAGGTTTGTTGTCACAACAAATGAGAAAAATTGGCCATGGAACATTACAAAATGGCAAACCTCTAGGAAATCACCAAGAAAATGGTATATATTTGACCATCCTTCTCTGATAAGATGTCCTGTATCCATTTGTACACTGGTGCCTCCAACCTCATTTATCCATGCACAGCAGAGCCACAACTAAAACAATGTTCTTTTGTAAAACACTTGCAGTTTTATATTATATTTATATAACTGCTAGAGGGCCAAAAGTTACAGTGTAAACGATTGAGACTATGTGTTGTTTACTACTGTTCATTTATGCAAAACAGAAACATTTAACATATTTGAGCTATAGTTTGTTTGAATTATATTGCAAATGCTTTTGCACACAATTTGACATAAACCTGAAAGCACTGACAATAGTATTCCATCAAAGGTGGAAGGGCTGTAAACTGCTCACAGGGAGATTTTAAAGTTTGCCTGTTGGCTGATACAAGGGCATCTGTCATCTGCTCATCTCTGAGCAGCACTCATGTCAGTTTTCTGTGATATCACACCCAAGAGCAACATCAGGAGGTGTAAGATGAGGAGAGGTGCCTGCGGGACAGCAGGAGCAGCAGATCAGATGAGCCCCCTTTTGTTAGACCACTGTCACCATGCAATGCATTTTTGGCTAATGCTAAAAGAAACAAGGGATGTCTTGGTGAAAGACAGGCAAAAACATTGGCAACCAATGGGTGTTTCATGTGGCAAGAAAAAAAAAACTCACCACAGAATCCATCTAAAATGAAAACTGCTTATATCATTAACTAAACAAAATCTGGTCGATAATGTGAAGATGAAGAACAAAGTGAACCACTTCTAAAATACTGTAGACAAAACGTGAGATAAATATAATTTAAAGTAGTAATACCTATGCTAAATATAGGCTTGATAAGATTAATGGTGTACCAGATTGTACATACGCACAATTCTAGAGGGATTAAACCATATTCTGAGAGTTGATTGCAAACCTCCAGTATAATGTCTGTATCAGATCACAGTACTAGAACACCAAACCTATTATCAAATGTCATGACCAAACTATGAGAAGTGATTCTTATCCAAACTGACTGCTTTTTAAGTGTATTCCATACTTTTATCAGTATTCGTTAACATTGCTGCATTTAGACAATGCATTAACCAGTTTGAATTTGTGTTTCACAAACAGAAACAGACTAATAGCCACTGACCAGTTCTCCCTTCAGCCATTTACTTCCTAACTTTAGCACATCCTATTTTTATTCCATCCATAATTTATTACATGGGCATACAGGAAGAATGGAGCACTACTCTGAATACGCTTAATGGATCCTGAATGAAGAGCTTCCTGCAATGGTTTGCCGATGGGGTCAAGCTTTTGATGGGTAGCCGCTGGCTATTCTTTGGCTTAACAGTGCAAAGAGTAACTTAAGTGGCAGGTAGGACAACAGTTCATAGAAGCAGTGATGCTTCATCAAAGAGAATTTACACAGATACCCTTAATAGCCTGGGACCGCATTTTGAAGATAAAGACATGTCCCATGTGTCCTAAATTGATGGGTGTCCATGAGAAACTGCCATTAGTGCTTTAACACAAATGCAAGGGGCCGTAAGCTACTCTAATGGAGGTTGCAGCTGAAAGGAATCAAGACCGTAGCAGTCCAAGACATGTTATATTCACAACATTTCTGCATTTATTTTGGCCTTAAGTGGTTTACCTGTCTCTGAGAGCAGCATAATGGAGCATCTCCAGCCAGGTGAATGCAGGTCAAATCATTCATCTCTGCTCAAATGTGCATGACAATAACAAAGCCAAAATATCATTATCATTTTATACATTTCAATGGATACAATTATAGGTATTATAACTGTCACGTATCCGGTCCATGAACTTCCGTCTGCTAGCCATCAGAGGTCACCCTTTCCATTTCATTGACTCTGAATTTCTAGCCATAGCACATTATGCTGATCTACCAGACTGTCTTCTGATAGAGTTTTTTTGTGATGGCCTGAATCAACCTCTACGATCTGAGCTTAGACGCGAGGGTCCGCGTTCATCACCGAGTTGCTTTTTGGACTTTGCTTTGTTGACGGTTGGCTCTCTATTCACTGTGGGTATCGCGGAGGAACACGACCCCGCACTCACTCGTGTAATGGTCCCCGCACTAGATTACGCTCACAAAATGGCGATGGATCCGCACGTCTCACGTCTTGTCAACCCCGTAACAGAATACTCGGCCATACAAGGACCCAGCAGCTTTTCTGAGGAACATTGGCCAGGTATGGACACGGCAAAGATTTTGTTAGCCCTTAGACAGGGCCCGCGATCGCTGGAGAACTGTGTTCGTGAATTTCTAGCCATAGCACATTATGCTGATCTACCAGACTGTCTTCTGATAGAGTTTTTTTGTGATGGCCTGAATCAACCTCTACGATCTGAGCTTAGACGCGAGGGTCCGCGTTCATCACTGAGTTGTTTTTTGGACTTTGCTTTGTTGACTGTTGGCTCTCTATTTACTGTGGGTATCGCGGAGGAACGCGACCCCGCACTCACTCCTGTAATGGCCCCCGCACTAGATTACGCTCACAAAATGGCGGCGACAGTGTCACGAATCCTGTCCATGGACTTCTGTTCAATCACCACCAGAGGTCACCCTTCCATTCCATTGACTCTCGCACTACACAAACTGTTGCACTTCACCCGGACCTCAGTTCCCATCATCTATTGCACTGATTACACACACACAGTTGATTGCACACAGCACTGATTGCACACAGCTGTAATCAATCACACATCCCCTATTTAACACTCACTCTGATCCCTTCCCTCTGCCGAGTATTGTTTAGCGAATATCATTGTTTAGCTGATAGCTACCTTACGGAGCCTGCTTAGTTTTCCTAGCCTTAGCGGAGTCTTGCTTTGTCTGTTTTCCTATGTTCTGATCTTTGCCTGTGTACCTGGATTTATCCCTCTTGTCTCGCCCTGTTGGATTCCGTTTGCCGTCGACTGACCTTCGCTAGTTTACCGGATTGCCCTGGCCTTGTCTTCTCCATACCAGTTTGCCATTGTCTGACCCATGCCTGTTTCTGACCACGCCTGTGAATAAAGCTTGCACATGGATCCGCACATCTCACGTCTTGTCAGCCCCGTAACAATAACATTACTATACTATTCCCAAAATACTACAACAGGTGACAGAAACCTTTACAGAGTTTACCGCACATGAAGAAATATTTCCAAAATATTTCACTGAAATATCTGTAAATGATAAAAACTACATGGCAGAATTTAAAGGAATAATTTGCTGAAAATTCAAGATGTAGATGAGTTTGTTTCTTCATTACATCATTTGCTCACCAATGGATCCTCTGCAGTGAATGGGTGCCAACAGAACGAGAGTCCAAAGCTGATAAAAACACCAAATATCCTCAACACAACCCCAGTCCATCAACTAACATCTTGTGAAAA